TGAACAGTTTCTTGTGCATGAAAGCCCGAGTTTGTTGAGTTTTCCGTCCGTTGTTCGCTATCGATGAAAAATTAACTCTATTACTTTCGGCGAATTATAGTTGAAGTATTCATGAAAATGTACAATTAATTTCTAATTTAAAAGCAAACGGAATTTCACCGTTAAAAAAGGTTATCGCGAAGCCAGGAGATAGTCCGTGATTGTATACCGAGAGTACGCCTTGCAGGAGTTCCCCTGGTTTCGCGTTTATAACTTTTCTTTTTCTCAGCCAATCGCATTTTACTTTTAAAATGACGTAGGACGATTATCCATCATCTTATTATACCAACCAATGAAATCGCTTGAATAAAGCAAATGTCGTCATTTCGATCTAATTTAGGGTCGGGACCCCAGTATTTGTCACGACAAATCCAGAGCTTCGCATGCTAAAATATGAGCGCATATGAGTTTTGAATAATTTCTTGATATAAAAACAGTACACTTACTTCACAATAAACGAGAAAGAACATGAAACTGTGTCTCCGTCCGGGCGACGAATTCGGCTTGTTATAGTCAAGAACGACAACTCAATACCGCTTCAAGTTCGCAGGAGTATTAATATTTCACGATATGATAAGCATGCATGCGCGTGAATCATGTTCAATGGGCAACGTGGAACTGAGACGCATCTCTGACGAATCCTAGAAGGCCGGAAAGCAGTATGATACAGTTTTAACTCTAAATTTTGAATAACCTTTGTACAATCTTTGAGACCTGTATGCCAAGTTTTAAGTTCTGAAATCTGATGCATGACATTACGAAATTTCTCTAATTATCGGGGTCGTTTATCTGTCTAGATCTATACTTTTCTTCCGATCACTTTAGATTTTCCTTTGTCAGTCGCCTCCTAGGCTTCAAAATATAGGTCCTTAGCATTACTGACGAGTCCTATAGAAGGACGAAAAAGATGTATTGTTCAGTTTAATTCATGGTTTGGCTATATCGGATCTAACTCTAATTTGAATTAAACTATCTTATTCACGTGTTTTTTGTACAATCTTCAAAAGCAAGTACTTGATGTTACTTGAAGGCATTTCATATTAAATTTAATTATCGAATTTTACTATGTCAATATCTGATTTGATATTATTTCAATGTCAGTGCACCTCTCAGTCTGGGTTTTGACATTTCTTTGGGCTAGTTTTAATTACTTTTTTTCTCGGTCGTCTCGAAGGTTACAACAGCTTCACCCCCTTACATCATCGACAAGTAAAAGGATTTACAGGGTCGAGACATCTATTTGATGCAGTTGAATTCATTGTTTGGATCTACGGTATCTAATTCTATATTATGTTGGAAGGTATTATTCACTTGTGTGTGTTTTGTACAATAATTTGCGTTTTTAGTAAGTTGCTATGTACACAAAGTTACTATATGTAAAGCCCACGGCTACGCGTCGTCAGACAGTCGGATAAACAAAAACATCAGTGATGACGCACGTTTGATGACACAAATAATGGGTCTATGAACGTAAACAGGTTTAGTTCGTATGAACTATTGAAGAAAACATGGCTATAAGCGATGTAAAGATAAATTATCAAAACGATTTAAGCCGTTAATTTATACATTGTCATATTCCTGTTCCAGTGAAATTCTTAGAATAGCATTGCCATTTCACCAGAACTTTCAGAACAGATTGCGAATATCGCCATTCAAAAGAAATTATCATTGTAACGTAATATTTATATGGTTCCCCTACCGAACCTATTGTAGATGTATACAATAACGGAACGTACATGCAAACAAACAAGCATCAAACACGTCCAGCTTCGTATCGCACAAAGAAATAAAACGTTTCTCAATGAGATCACTATGACAACCGTAACTCTTCCACTTATTTTCACCAATCTGCATCATTTGAAACCTTGTGTTACGCGTTTGTCCGTCAAGTATTAACTTCTTACAAGAAAAGCGTGATGATGGGAGCAAGAAGGAAATTAAACGACTTTGCAAGGTCTATGTAACCTGTGTTTATAAGCTCTTCGTATACAAAGGGGTAGAGTTAGTTATAGAACTACGGTCGGGAGTCATAATAACATTAACTGACATTCAGGACTTACCTACAGGACTACGGTTGGGAGTTCGAGTCACTTTTAACTGACATTCAGGACTTACCTACAGGACTACGGTCGGGAGTCATAATAACCTTAACTGACATTCAGGACTTACCTACAGGACTACAGTCGGGACTTCTAGTAACTTTTAACTGACATTTAGGACTTACCTACAGGACTGCAGTCGGGACTTCTAGTAACTTTTAACTGTCAAGTAGAACTAATCTACAGAACTACGGTCGGGAGTTCTACTAACTTTTAACTGTCACTCGGGATTAACCTACAGGACTACAGTCAGGACTTCTAGTAACTTTTAACTGACATTCAGGACTTACCAACAGGACTACAGTCGGGACTTCTAGTAACTTTTAACTGTCAAGTAGAACTAATATACAGAACTACGGTCGGGAGTTCTACTAACTTTTAACTGTCACTCAGGACCAACCTAAAGAACTACGGTCGGGAGTTCTAGTAACTTTTAACTGTCACTCAGGACCAACCTAAAGAACTACGGTCGGGAGTTCTAGTAACTTTTAACTGTCACTCAGGACTAACCCTAAGAACTACGGTCGGGAGTTCTACTAACTTTTAGCTGTCACTCGGGACTAACCTACAGAACTACGGTCGGGAGTTCTACTAACTTTTAACTGTCACTCAGGACTAATCTACAGAACTACGGTCGGGAATTCTAGTAACTTTTAACTGTTACTCAGGACTAACCTACAGAACTACGGTCGGGAGTTCTAGTAACTTTTAACTGTCACTCAGGACTAATCTACAGAGCTACGGTTGGGAGTTCTAGTAACTTTTAACTGTCACTCAGGACTGACCTAAAGAACTACGGTCGGGAGTTCTAGTAACTGGTCGGCCGTCGATAGTGCGCTAAAAAACGAAACGTTCCGAAGAATTCTGGCTCAAAATATGAAGCATGTAAAATGGCGATCTAAACATTGATATCATAGGATATTTGATGAATTCTATTAAATACCAGAAGGATGAAGATTACCAGTGATCATAACGTGATTTTTTTTACAATTGAAATGTCATGCATGTCATTTGTAATAATGATCTCGGGCTTAAAACACTGATAATTAGAATAAGTAATTAAAATTTTGACATGTAGATTTAATTAGTAAAACACAATAACGATTGATGAGATCGAGGAAATGAAATGCTATTACATAAGAAAATGAGTTATTCAACTACAATATTGTGTAATTAAATCTGCCACCATTGTTATTTAATTTTGTAACGAACTATTATTAGTCTAGCGTTGACACCAGATAATGTTTATGTGAGAGACAGTTGTCCAATACTGAAAAGTGCACAGGTACTTTATTTAATAATTAGTATTAAGGCATGTCTATGCCTAGAATATATATACAAATATTTTACATTAAAGAGTCATATCATAAAGTTATGAGGTCTTTCTAATTATCATTGTGATATATCTATTATTTCAAATGATATCTTGTAAAGAATATAAAGTCGAAACTCGTTATCTCGAAATTCAATGGACTGTGGAAATGTTTTCGACTTGTCCGTATTTCGACTCAAACGAAGTATATAATTAAGGTGGACGATATCAGTATTCTGATGTTGAACGAAGTAGAGCTACGATATTTGAAATGACAGTAAATAAACAAATTAATTTATCTTGCTGCCTCCTTTTATTAAAAAAAAACAAAACAAAACATGTAATAACGACTCCAATCAAATGCAATTGTATTTAAGTCGTTCCGTCTCGCACGCGTGTACTATACCCTTACTGACCAAGCACATATACACCATATATTTTACGGATTGACATGAAACGAAATTAAAATTTGCTTTTGATACGCTACAAGAAGTGATGCATGAATCCACAGATCAAATAAACGTATGAAAAACGCGTTACTAGAAAGGTTCTACCTGTTTCAGAAAACATTGTCCAAGCACCAGACTTAACAAATCAGAGATATAGACTCTACCAATGAAAAATACTTTCAGCACTAGTAACATTTATTTGTCACTCAGGACTAACGACCATGGTAACATCCTGATTTGATAAGAACAAAAGAATTTGTTATCTGCATTGAGAGTACACATTAGCAAAACCAAATTTGAGATTGATGACTGCATAGTGTACTCATTAACAATTGTCAATAAAAACTGTTACATTTCTGCAGGTGGAAATATATCATTAAATTAATACTATACTGTCAAAAGGTATGGTAACAGTTTGCAACATGGATTGTATAAACAGCAATAATTCAAAAATAAAATAAAAAAAACTAATTTTATTGCTTTCAATGATTCGTATACCTGTTATGTAGATAATAACTAAGTTTTTCTTTTCGGTACCTACGTCAGTGGATGATTACACAAACTTTATGTACATGAAATCAACTGAAATCAATATTTTATTATCGTACACGAATGTCTCACTATCTAAATCATCGTAAAAGTGCAAGGTTGAGATTTTGACAGGTATTTGAGTAAACAAATCTAAACAACGTTATATATCAAATCTTTTTGTAAAAGGAATCTTACGGCAGGTAACGGGAATAAATTGGGAATTTTATTTGTGTGTATGTTTTTATTTTTGTTGGTTTTAACTTTTGACGGAAATAGTCATTATTTAAGTAACCCTCTTCTAATTCAGACCATGAAAGCACACCGGTCTAACATCTATACAACGATACATCAACATCCAGCTCATACTTTTAACCTTTAACTTTTAACGATTCGAGACACAACTAGGTCTACACTGTCGAAGACATGTACATCTCTTTGAAATACCTAGCCTCATTAATCAACCGTCTATCAATGTTGACAGACAGTGCGTGTTAAATCATTGAATCAGAACTATTTAAATAACTTCTTTAAAAATCAGTCCCTAAGTTAGAGACAGGACTCAATAACAGTATGCTGTGGATTTCATATGTGGTTTTTTTGTTTAACCTCACATTCTGTTCTGCTGATGTAATTGAAAACAAACGTAGTAAGTATTCCATGAACGTCTATATTATAATCCAAGCAAAACCTGCTTCCACACATAAATACATAATAAGATTACTTGTTTTATTCATTTTTGTATCTAATATATCCATCATTTAACCTTTGGTTTTACCTTTCTTTTATTTCACATTCTAAATCACACCATCTCCAATTGAAAGAAAGTCGATTAAAAATTAAACATAATGTAATTTTTTCACTCGTTGAAATATATTTTTATATTGAACAGAGGCAGATGAGCTGAATTTGATAGCGTCGATAGCTTTTCATGAGAAAATCACACGAGAGGGTCCTGCGTTGAAAGAGCTGGTGGAAATACAAGCCAAAGAATGTGAAGCAATTCTGAACCGTACTTTTGAAGCATGTGAAGTCTGCAGATCTCGGCAAGTTCCGCTTTAATTACAAACTATTATATCTCGTATGATATTTATTGGAATTTACATTTATTGTAATTAAAGAAAAGTTAAGTTCAAAAATATTACATTAACGATAAAAGCAGGAAGAAAACTCCCGCCAAATTATATAAACACCAGTGCGCCATGCATAGTAATACACGATTTTTGAACTTTGAAATATGTTCTTGAATGACATCAATATTTTAATGTTAACGTTGTACATGTGAACTGAAAATTTATTAACGGAGGAAAAAATATGGGATCTCATAAATATACATATATAAGAATATTTATACACAGGCAATGAAAAATATTGTTTAAAATATTAAATTAGTAAGGCACATTGAAATTTGTAGTCTTACAATAACAAGAAGAAAAAATCAACATGTTAACATAACCTATCCAAACTCAAAATTCAATAAAACAAGAACAAAATATATTAAATCACTATGACGACGGTTAAACTTCTCATTGATTTTCATCAACCTGCATAATTTGAAACTCTAGGTTAGTAGTTTGTCCGTCAGTGGACGACCTTGTGCAGGAAAAATTGTGATAATGGGAACAGGCACTTATCGAATCTACTTCAAAGTTAACACCTTGAATTGTCGCTATCCAGAAATGGAAATTCAAAAGCTTATCATACAGCTTGATGGAAAGCTGCCCATGTTGGTTTCGTTGATTATGTTGGCATAGTATTTTCTTGATGGTTTCTGGGAAAGATCTAGAAAAGAGGCTGATGTAGAAGAGTCTGTCGTGTCCTGATCTCTGTTGGGTATATACGATGAACATGTTCAATAAATATCTTTTTATTTAAACACAAAACGTCATCAATATATCTGAAAGTGAAATTAAATGACTTTGGAAGGTCTTTGTGGCCTGTTTTGTTAAGCTCTTTGATAAATTTAGCCTCGTATGAAAACAGAAACAAGTCTAGTAAGATTTGGGAATATTTAGTTTCCATGGGTAACCAGTAGCCTTCTTACCAAACTTGACGAAGATGTTGGCGACCAGAGACTCGAACATTTTTTATGATTTCGTCTATATTCTATTCACTCTTTGATTTTGACTTTTTTTTTTTTTTTTTTTACGAAATTCGCTTCAGCATAGTTCGCCACCATAACTGTACCGCTGATCATATTTCTTGGAAAAGAAAGCACCATATTAAAAGAAAACGTGCGTTCTTTCAGTTAAGAATGGGGTATGGTGGTGTACAGAATAGAAAAATAAAATGTTCTTATAGAAGAACTGTTTTTAGCAGAGAGAGGGTGTTGAAGATTGGTAAAAAGCTCTTTGATGTTCTTTAAAATCCACATACAAGTAATTTCACTTGAGTACACAGTAACACTATAACCATGTAACCCAGATTTGATAGTACTGAGAATGGTAGTTAGTAGTTTTAAAGAAGCTAGCAATAAAACGCCATTTATATGGATTCTTGTGAGTTTCGGAAATCCATTATAAACGGGGGAGGTCCTTACTATTAATTGGCAATCTAAATTATTGCAATACTGGGGCAGCATGATTGACCAGTATTTCTTAAGAAAGATTGATTGCATTATGAGTAAGCCTAGCTCATTTTGTATCTTGGAAATGTAATAATAAGAGCAGAAAAGGATAAACTTATCAGATGCAATGTCTGCAGGCACAATCACATATCTGTCATGTTAATCTTGAAGTGTGGATTTAACAGCAAGATCGAGGAACATTGGTCTGTATTTTGTTTCTTTGTTTTAAATTTCAATCTGATGATTTTCTTACGAATGATAGACCAAATGAATTTTGTATTTTACAAATTTATGGATGAATCAATTTATTTTACGATTTTTCCTTTCAGCAATCCAAATGTGCCTCAAACAATCAAAAATGATCTCGAAAAGCTATTGTTACTGATAGTACCGAGAACTTTCCATGATGTGACTGGAACACCGTTAGAAACAATTGTCGGAGAAACTGTTCCAAGCGTTGTTAAAAGTGACAGCAGTAACCTTGGAACATTCTTCAAGGGAACACTTCCTAAAGTAGGCAAGGATATCACAAAACATCTGGGAATATTCTTTACTAAAACACTCCCTAAACTGGGGAAAGTTGTGGGAAATCATCTTGAAACCTTCTTCACAAAGACTATTCCAAAGACAGGGAAGAAAGCAGGAGGGCATGTTGATGTCTTTTTTACAGATACAATTCCTACGGCTGGAAAAGATATTGGAGGTCATGTAAACACATTCTTTACTAAAACACTCCCAAGTACAGGAACAGATGTTGGAAAAAATATTGATACATTCTTCAGAAGAACTATTCCTAAAACCGGAAATGAAGTTGGAAAATTTCTTAAGAAGACATTCTCTGAAACAGCAAAAACAATTGAAACTTTCTTCAAAGAGACACTTCCTGGTATGTTTTGTTACATAAATATATCATTGTTTATAATGAAACAATTTAACGAAATAAATATGATGATATATTTTTCCTCTTTTTTATCGATTTTAGCAGAATAATCAACCAAAATTATTTGAGATATGTTAAATGTTCAGGTAGTATCAAGAAATATTTGTTGATAATTTCCATTCTGGACGATTTCCTTTGCACAAAAGACATGGAAGAGAGCAGACCCTTTCATTCTGAGTTCAAAGTACAGCAAAAAAATAATTCAAACCGAGAAATTCAACTTTTCCATCCTTCTTGAACTCAAAAGTGATGCTAGAGGCACAAATTGATCACAATTAATTTCTATAAATTAAGATTGGTTAGTGCACTAGCTGTGAAATTCAGTCAATTTTCTAATTTTCGACGATGAAAATATTTAAAAGAATGTCAAGTACACGTGTCCATTCTGGATTGTATCACTATTTAAATTGATAGGTTATGACAAACCTCGGGGTGTAGGAGTCAGACTTAAGTCAAGTATGTTTTTGACAGATTTATTCACAGGAAGACGCAGACGACAAACTTCTGAGTGTCACACCTGTGATAAAATCAACACCGAAACTATGACGTCACTGGATCTTATGCGTTCAGGTGAATATTTCTTCTTTTTTTTCCCCACGACGGATGTGTATAAGGTACTATTTACCATTGTAATTACATATTTGATTAAAAGAAACTGAATGTAATTCAATTGCTGATTGGTCACAGTGTGCTACCCTTAGGAGTGTACTTCCAAATCCTCGATGTCTAATAATAAGTTACATCCCATGACGGTATACAAGCTGTGCTCTACTGCTATCGCTTTTTATACTTCATTACTACACTAGTTGATGGAACTACAGATAGAACATTTATCGGCGTGATCCAGCAATTCAATCTACTCCAGTCTGTATCTTGTTTTTTATTTAACACTTCATATTAAGTTTTTAAAGACCTCTTTACACTCCAGTGATATTTTCAATTTCCAAAAAAATCAGTTAAAACGGTCATAGCGAGTTTTTCTTGACTAGAAGCAAATCTGATTAATTTTTATGTTTATTTCCTCAAAAATGTTTGACAGATTGATGATCTTATAACTTGATTGATCTTTTATTGAAGTTTGTGGACAAGCCTATGTCAACAACATCGCACAGTACAAGAAGATGGTAACCATAAACAAACTGATCCATATCGACAAAAAGCCCATCATTACTAAGGTACGATATTCCATATTTCCCGATAAAGGCCGTGCGGTTTAAAGTATTAACAGTGCGAAGACATATGATCATTCTTTGCCATGCTGCATTATAATTTATTTCGTAAGCTCTTGATGAATGCATTTTGTATGTACAATTGATATAAACCCAGTCAGGTTTCCATAATTTTCGGGAAATAAACACGTATTTCAGTTAACTGCCATTAAAAAAGAAATTCCTCATTCTTTTTCATGCTGCATTAAATACTGTGTCGCAAGCTTTATTGTTGTGCACTACATTGCATTATGTAGTGACATGAGAATCATATACTTAGCAATGAAGTAAGATATTTGGGGACAAGAGTTTACTATGATAAATGACATTTGTTTTTATATAAAAATTTGCACACTTAACGCTGCGAGATTCTGGTTGAAATAGTTAGAAAATATCATAAAACCAACGAGACAAAATCGTAATTTTAACTCCAGATAGATAAAACAATTAAAACATATTAACAAAAGAAATGACACGGAGATAATACCAGGTATTTAGGAATAGGTAAAGTCTTCTACTCCATCACGTTCTTTTTCGGATCAGTCCGAAAATGGGACAGTTCACAATTAGGGAGCAGGAGGACCTACATATGGAATTCGAAAATGATCCAACAAATACTTCTTCTTAAGAAATAGCAATAATTGTTTAAGGACAAATCGCAAGAGGACGAACGATGATGTTAGTTAAAAAAATAATAAAATACTTTATTTTAGGTCAATGACACTTTGAGTTTACAATACTCTTCTTACAAGTGGTCGACATAGATTTAATATAACTATATTGTACACATAATGAAAATGTATTTTTTATGCATTAACTGCTATCCCATGCTTAGGCTTCTAACCAAGTTTGAATTAAAAGGAATTACATTCCAGATTAGTATTTTTTAAAAACAAAATCTAGGGTAATGAAATTTACAATTTTTATAAAGCACCGTAAGAACTTCCATCCATGAGCGTATTTCGTTCTACATTATCTGGGTATCGAGAAGATTTTTGAAATTTCGGTCCATTTGACCTATTTTTGCCCCGCCCAACAGCCCCTGGGGGTTAACCAAGGTCAATATGTGCATATCATTAAATCATTATCATCTTAAACTAATAATTCTAACCAGGTTTCAACTATTTCGAATAGAAAATGAAAAAAAAAAAAAAAATAATAATGTTCAAAAATGTAATTTTCCTATGTAAACTACAGTGATATTTACATCTGAAGGCCTTTTCATCCATGAAGAATACTTGATTCTACCATACCCGGGATTTGAAAGGATTTTTTTTAGTGTTTCAATCAATTTGATCATTTTTGGCCCCACCCTTCAGTCTCTTGTGGGCTCGAGACCATATAACTTACAATTTTGGTCCGCCTTTGACCATAACCAGTTTTGTAAAATTTCATTGATATCGGTTCAGGAGTTTTCAAGAAGTCGAAAGTTTACGACGCATGACGCCGGACAAAATGGTATCGCAAGAGGTCACCCTGAGACTTTATCTCAAGTGACCTAATAACGTGAATCGACAACAGTGAGGATTCCCTTTCGCGTGAAATATGGTACCTTTCTGGTACATCGTTAACGTGATGATGCTTTCGGAAATGTCATTGTTTTGTCAGATAATGTTTTTTTTAAACTGTCTGAATTATACTGGCATTTTTATTGCCATATTAAAGAGCTGCTTAATGTGTAAACACACATACAGTAGACATTTACAGCAATTTTAAATACGACGCACAATTGTTATAGTGTTGTATCCTTTCTCCCAGAACAAAAGCACGTGACATACTTCCTTCATTGGACAAGCGATGGTGTCATTACAATGGTAACGAGGCAGTTATGTGACACACAATTATTCTTTATATTACATCATAATGTAGTATTTTTTGAAACAGAAATACGGCCAATTTGGATTTTTAACTAGTGGTGATGTTAAGCTCAACTTTACTAGCAAGCTAATTGAGATTTCGTCTTCAGAAATTTTCACGATTATGTCAAATGTAATTGTGTTAATCGTGACATCTTAGCTATGTAAATTTCAGATGTAACAGATATGCTCAACATATTAATATTTCAATATTGATGTTGCGGTTTTAAATATGACTTAATGTGTATTATTATCAACATTTTCTATACAGTATTATCAGGTCAATTATTCTGAATATGTATCAGAGTAATATTTGAATATTATCATTTTTGTGACATCAATAACTCTTAAACAACCATATTTGCTGTGACATATTTATAATGTATCATTTTAGAAAATTATTTTGAACATTTTTAATTCCTGAATCATTATTTCCGTTATAAAACGGGTAATAAATTATCAACTTTCTTATTTCTATACTAAAAAATCGCTTAATTTTATCGAAGCAGTTGTCACGAATATGGTTTATATGGTTTCCCAGTAATTATAAATGTAAAAACACTACGCCAATCTGATAATTTTGCGCTTGACACCCTTTTACTATTACTGACACGTCAGCGTACAATAAAAGGCTATATTGAAATGTTACATCACAAAGCAACGTTTATTCTTGAACATTAATTGGAGATCAGCATATATAGAAAACAGCTATTATGTAATGAAATATCTTACACATGTCTGTTTCTCATCAAAAGTTACTTATAAAAGATTGTACAAAATATACACTAGTGAAAAGCATCTTTTAATAGAAATTTAGATTTAGATACAGTAGAGCCAAACATTTAATTACACTGCATCATACATATGTCTCGTCCTTTTAGGACTCGTAAGTGATGAGAAGGGCCTAAATTTTGAAGCCTAAGAAGTGTCTTAGTATCGAATGATCAACAGAAATGCCAAAATTTAAGTGAGGAAATAACCTAGCTCTGTAATTCAATTAATTTCAACATATCTACCTGGGTTGCTTTTTCGGTTTCAGGTGACTTTCATGAGGAAAGATGTGGTTGATAAAGTGTTGGAAGGTGTAGCTTCTGCATCGCCGATTGCTGTCACCTACACTGATGGAACAACTGCGGAAACCTTGAAATCAGACGCCACTCTCGACCTTCTGGATTCCAATCAGGCCCTAGGAGAACAACTGGCTAAGGAAATATGGGACATGATATAGAAATCATATATCAATTTACACACATATGTGTAAAGGAATCAATAATGATAATACAGAAAGGACATACAGCTAAAAATTGATTTCGACAGATTGACTAGTTATGAACTTTATTTTTAAGGCACCTGTATTCTATGGGTTTATTCAATCTTAGGAACGGGTAAAAGGAAAACACCGAAAATTACAACTTTTAAAGTATATAGGGCGTAAGAATTTATGTTAAAATTTTGATAATTCAACCAAGATACCACAAATTGTCTGGATAGTGAAATATCATTTTTACGCCTGTCTGATTGAATTCAAAATAAAATTAACTTTTATTTCTATTGTTTTCAACTTTGTCCTCATATCAGCATGTGACATTACTTGGATTGACCAAGATTCACATGACGGATGTCGTCGAGGATAAAAGAAAAAGGTTACTCTGTCGGAACACCTGGCCCTATTCTTTTTGTCATTCATTTTTCTTTGAACTCATTCGTTTGTCCATATTTTGCCCTCATTTTTGAGTTGTGTTTGGTAACTCATTATATAGGACAAGCCCTAATAATCACAAATATATTAAGATATTGTTTCACACTATTGCTATCCGCTCTACGCCACCAGACGTTGTATTTTGTAGGTTATGCTATCACAATACATGTATACAATACCAAACATGATAAATATATAATTTACTTCTATATACTGGGAGCCATTAGGCTAGGGAATCTTTTCCTTGGCTGAAAACTGTTCATTTTTGCTTAGAAATATTTCAACTTCAAACTTAAACATATTTTACTCTCGTGACAAAATAGCAAGAAGTGAGAAAGTTAAATCGTGGTGAAAGCTCCTGTATTATGTGTAACTGAGTTTATGTACAATAATAAGAGAGATGTGTAAGAATAAATATAATATATATATATATATATATATATATATATATTATTATTATATCTACATAGTAGTATAAGCTGATGTCCCAAAATTTAAGTATGAAAAGGTAACATTTCAAACATGCTGATGATTAATTAATTCAAATTACATGATAATTGCAACCACGACCGACTTGAATTAATTTGATTCTACACTTTTAAAAAAACGCTGAAAGTAGGAAATGGAATAAAATTAATTTCTTACGATTTAATGTAGATATATGTACTTTTATTTTTGTTTTAGAAGACAGATGTAGAGACTAGGAAGATATACTCTATAGACTGTATTAAGAAAATGACAAGGTCAAATATAACATTCTTTGTCAGTTTGAAAAACTGAAGCCATGGAAAAAGAATCGATAACAATATCATCGAATTTCGGCCGTCAAAATCAGGTTATGCTTCTCGTGAGTTATAATTCTTGTAAACTGCCCTAATTCCCGTTGAGATCTATCTACCTTTGGAGTTTTCATGTTGAAACCTCTTATAGTTATTGTGTTACGCTCCGGATAAAATTACGACGTACGTACAGACAAACGGACGATAGGACGGATGGAAGAGTTACGAACGGAAAAAAACGGTGGCTATATGCTCTCCCTTCGGGGAGCATAAGAAAGAAAGAAAGGAATAAAATAAAATAAGTACATTTTAACACATGCAATATACAAAGAACAGAGTAGACAAAGAGGACTATGGACATGTACCTAGTGTTAATTATATAGTTCTGTATAGGAATGTATGAAGTATAAATATAAAATGATTTTTGTTTCAATCTACTACCGTACGGATCGCTTGCAATATGTAATTTGATAAATAATACAGTACAACATATATTTTAAGTTTTAAACGATTACTTTAGATAGAACTTTAAGAAAGAATTGTCTTTATTGTTCACGCGAAAAAAAAATTGTCCTCTATACTAAGCATTGCAAGGATTGAACAGTTTAATCTTCAGCTGCGAAAAAACCTCTTGTCAATCATTATGCTCTTTATTACATATGATATAAAACTGAAGCTCATCGTTGATAGTATTAGTATCGCAAAGTTTATACAGGCATTTCGACCGAGGGACCAGCTGATATCCACCCACTTCAAATGTCTATGTGCCGATACCCAAAAGTTGAGTAAAATGCCGTCGCGATTGATAGTTAGAGATAGAGTTGACGTAAGGTTCTATGCCAAAGTTACATGTTGTAATTTTCATATTGTCAGTAATTTTTCTGGGTCCCGAACACCATTTCCAAAATTTTGATGAGTCTCATTACTAGGTTACTGCCAAAAAAAAACCCCCAAAAAAACCATGAGTCCAAGACTCAAATACCTAAATCACATATATCACGGTATTGTTAACAACATCCATTTGGTATGTACAGAGTTAAGATAGCTAAAATTAATGAAACTCTCAAGTGCTGTTTTAGGGCAATGTCAATAACTACATTATAATTGATGCTGTCATTGCGTTATGGCGCAATAGCATAGTGTTTATTTGATATGAGTCTTGATGTAATATTAATTAAACGTCAAACTCTTTTACATATGGTAATATACCATACTTATATTATATACATATGAAAAGTTAATTTGTTCATAAACATTCTATGTCATATTGTCGATTATCTTTATCATTCATTCGATACAATTCATATTATAGAATTTGATATTTTTTATTTCAGAATATTTTATAGATATAAACAGTCAATTGGATTAGACAGCAGGCTAGAGCCTATATTATGTCTTCTCCCAAGACAACACGGTGGTCAGACATAAACATAATACACCATAAACAAACAAACACGCACACACGCACGCACGCACATACATACATACATACATACATACATACATACATACATACATACATACATACATACATACATACATACATACATACATACATACATACATACATACATACATACATACATACATACATACATACATACATACATACATACATACATACATACATACATACATACATACATACATACATACATACACTATACACATACAAACCTTACATTGCATTTTAATATTTGAACATTACTCCTTTTTGATTGGCTAATATATCTTGTACATATTTATCCCTTTACAGTTAATTCTGAACGTAATGCCCCATTTCAGTTAAACCTTGAAAGGTTTCTTGTCTTTCGATATCGACATTTTTTTTCAAAATAATTTTTTCTCTTTGAGAGTGACAAAGGAATCCCAATTCGATAGACAGGATTTTGTTTATCTATTTTGAAGATCCCCTCTCGAGGAAGATAATTCATTTTCTAAAAATCTTTCTTTGTGATGTAAATGAACGCATAAGGGAGTATGCATCTTTCAGTGATTCAAAGCTATCTGTTAAATTCAACATTATTACTGCAAGTGGTAGACTGTATCCTACCACTAACAAATAAATGTAATGTCTCCTTTGTAGCAAGTGCCTTCTGTAAGTAACGTAGGGATAATACCCACACTTTTCATCAATGTCACTTCTGGTTTAGAATATTAGATCATGCAGTCTGCCATACCATAGGATTTCTTGAATCGCTTAAATGGAAGGAAAATAATTTGTTGGTGGAGAGGCATTAATTTACGTTCATCTTAGTTTTACCCCATGTACTTTTGCATAAATATATTCATTTATGTAATTCGGCTAGATAAATGTTGGCAGGATAACGATGATTTATTGGTTTTCAGCAATGTTTTAGATAATGATAGAACTAGCTACAGACTGCCACCGGAGGACTGCTAATAAATGTGCACCATACCTAACACAAGCAGCGTGCCTTTCACCGATATCATTAAAGATTGTTAATTTATTCCTATGTTTCTCTGCGAGCTGGCATTCTACCACCAAGGTCTACCAAGAAAAAATACAAAAAGACGTTAGTCATGGCAATCAAAAATGCCCTCAATGAGCTGATGTCAAATTTGCATACATTTCATATTCAAAAATTAGAGTGTCTCCTTATCTAGAGTGAGAAAGACATGGCAGTTTAAGCCATCCTCTACGCCACATATATGCCTCAAATGTGCAGTGTATATGTGCACTATATTTATACTTCTATATTAAGGTAAACATTACAATTACATTAATTAATCACGGCAATCAAAAAGAGTTGCTGAAAAGTAAATGTCACGTTTGCATTCATTTAATATTCATTAATTAGAACTTTCCTGTTTTCAATTATCTCGTCTCACAACTGTGAACGTTCTGACGTTACCGTATCAGGACGGCTGGTCAACATGGTATTACTGTTTTTGGTTGGTATATTGCTGTTGAACCGTTTTGGTTCAGCTGTACAGAGCCGACAAAGTAAGTATAACACATATTTCGATGAGTAGTACATTTCACATTTTATAAATTTATAAGGTGATGCAGGAATTGTTTCAATTGCATGGCGTTGAATTTCATTAAGAAATGTAACAGTTCTATTCACCTGGAATCATAAGATATATAACACTATTATCTGAAATTAGAAAATGTCACACAGGTATTAAAGAAAAGACACACAAATAAATAGAGGTTATGCATGTGAATTTATACAAGAAAATGTTATTAATTGTTATAGGAATGTCTGTTGATTGATAGTAGAAAACGTCACAAGAAAAAAGTGATTTGACGTTGCAGGAAATACGGAGACAAGTTTTGCTTCCGTAATGTAGTGCCTTGGTTTTCATGGGTTTTTTCGGAGTGCTCACGATATCTTTACAATTCATAACAAAAAAATATTTTTTTGTTTTTTTGTTTTTTTCAAAATACTAAACATTATCTTCTTCCGAGTGATATAAAAAAATATCATGATGTTAAACAGAATCGATAGCAATCGATGTGATTTTTCATCTAAAAGACAAGAAAGTGTTAATTCAAAATAAATGAACAAATCGTTTGTTAGAAAATACTGAAAAATGAATATTTCCGGCTGAGTTTTTTTTTTATGAAAAGAGGACAACAGCGATAAAGACTAGCGTAGGATTGTATAAAAGACAAACACGTTTTGATATTGATTTAGAATCAGACACAGTAGAGCCTTAAAAACTGCATCATACATTTTTGCGTCTTTCAAGGTCTCGTCAGTTTTGCAAAATGAATCTTTC